AGTTTTATCTGAAGTACAATCCTCGAACCTAATCGCGTATCCGACCTATAATTATGATAAATTAGATAAGATATATGAATCATAAATAAATCATTAATCATTACGAATCATTTACCTCATACCCAAGTTTTACACCCATTTCTTCTGCTACACGAGCGGCAACACTCATTTTTCCCACCTTTGGTATAACTTGCTTCAAAGAGATATTGAGGCAATTGTGTAGTCTTCCCTGACCCAGTTTCACCAACAATCACAAAGTTTGATATTCATTTATAGCTTTAAGTAAATCTTCTCGGAAAGAATATATGGGCAAAGATTTGCGTGTTTCTCGATTATTTTTGCTAAAAAAAATATATATATATATTTATTTTATTTATCTACTATTTTTACTTTTTTCTATTGTTAATTTAAAAGAACTCACCCTTTCGTTCAGCTTCATCAATTTTAGCCATTATTTCATCTTCTTTATCATTCGATTTCCAATCCCAATCAAGAAAATCAATGGCTTGATCATCAAAAACATATCTATAATCATCCTCTTCTTTTATTCTATCTTGAGCACCAACTTTTAATTGAGATTTTACTATTTGAGTTTGTTCCCATTGATCTTGATCAGTGACAAATTTAACGTTGATACAAAACAGATTCTTTTCTTTTTTTATCTATTTTTTCTTTCTCAGTTATATAATCTATAGAAGAATAAAATTTAAAATGTTAAAATTTTGATACTACAATTATGTACAAATATTATAAATAGATAATATAACCTTCTGGCATTGAGTATTCATCAGTTTTTCCAGAAAGACTTAGTCTCACTTTCGTTAATCTTAAAGTTTCTTTTTTCATTTCAAGTTCCCTTCTTTTCCTTTTTCATCTTTAAACAATATATCCTCATCAATTACACCTAATTCTAACATTTGTAATTGTTTATCTGTTCGATCCTTTAAGTAAGTTTGTCATGATCTTTCACGAATATCAGGAAGAAGTTTTTACGTGCTTCGACATCATTGGCAGTATTTTCTTCTTTTAGCAGTTTCACTATCTGCTTTTGATGATCGATCTTCTACTAGCTATGAAACAAATAATAATAATTAGATTTC